CATTTCTTCAATAATAGCACTGTATGTTTGACAGTGTTTCTTGAGGGTATCCGATTAATAATAAAAGACATAACTGTTATGAAAGTGTTTGGGAAAATAACATTTTATGCATGTTATGGGCCCTAAGTAATTATTTTGTGGTGACATTCTGTATAGTATTAGAAGGACTTGGCCTTAGCATCTTATTTGTTCCTGGTCTCATAATTCTTTGGAGTGAAGACTAGTGTAATTATTTTCATATGGGAGGTGTCAATTAGCAAATCTTCATTTATCCCTGGCATGCAAGGCCCTGGCTTAGGCACTGGGCACCAACAAGGCTTAGATTGTCTGTCCCTATTTTTAGGGGGATCTGCAGTGAGAAATTAATGTGTCAAACTTTAAATAGCAGTAGGTTAGTAGAACAGAGATGCTATAGTGCCTTGCTTAGCTGAGTTGTGAACAAATGAGCACAGTGATTTTGTTCAGATTTGTTTCCGAATAGGATGTCATGGCAAAGCCATAGGCATCAATTTGTTGGATCCCCTATTTGTGTGTCAGTTTTCTTAGTGGGCTACAGGCAGATGATGGGCTAGAAGTCAGGGGGTTAGATGTTAGTTCTTGCTATTTTGGCTCTTGACTATGGACAGGTCAGTTAACATCTTTTGTTTTAGTTATTTATATCTGTGTTACCAGCCCCCAACTTCTTATAATTTTATGGGTCGGAAGACCCAGCTGGACAGTTTTTCTGCTTTATATGGCATTGGCTAGAGTCTCTTGCTTGGATGCATTCAGATCACGACTGGGCTGGAGAGCTCAAGAAGACTTCACTCACATGTTCGGTTCTTCTCTATGATGCCTTTCTCTCTTCATAGGCCAGCTTGAGCTCTCTTACAGCATGGTGTTTGGTTCCCCAGAGAACATGACAGTGGAAGCTTTGAGGCTTCTTAAGGGCTGTGTCTGGAACTGGCAAACTGGTTTTTTTTTTTTTTTTACCATATTCTTTTGGTCAGCAAGGAGACTCCAACAAGGTTAGGAGGAAAGGAAATAGACTCCACCTCTTGATGGGAGGAGCAGTGTGTATATACAAAGGAGAGGAGGAATTATTGATGACTATCTTTGGAGATTGTTTACTATAGTTCCCTTATCTGCTAAATGAGGTGTTGAATTAGGGAGTCTCTTAGGACCTGTCTAGCTCTACATTTCTATAATTCTACACATTTATTTTTGAAGTTTTTTTGGTATATTATATAGTAGAAATAATTTGGGCTTTGGAGACAGGAAGGCCTGGGTTTGAATCAGGCCTTAACATTGATGTGCACTTTGAGAAGTGACTTAGTCTTTCGGAGATTTTGTATGCATGTTAAATAGGGTTAATATAAACTCATTTCTTGGATTATTTTTCATCTTAGCAATGAGTCATCACTCAGAAAGTGTTAGTATCCTTCCCCTTTCCCTTCCTTGTTACCTGATCTGAGCCTTTTCATAGTAGTGTAGTTGAAGACATTAATTGCAGTTCTTTTTATTTAATTCTAATATGAAGGTGTTCAGGTATTTAATCATGTTTTGTGATGCCAGACTATTTTTCTGAGAGCAAGATTCAAACACAACTGTTCAGTTTGTTCATCCATTATCCCTAGAAAATTGTTTTATGTAGAAAGCATGCTTAAAAATAACTAGTTCGAAATGCATTTTGGTCTGTGGACAGCTGACTTCTTTGGCATTTCTAGTATCTTTTGTCTAGAAGCAAGAAAAAGCTGTGTGGGGTGGACAGCACGCAGTCTGGCTGTTTTGGACCATGGTGGTGCCTGGCCTATAGACCAGGACTGATAGGCGAGATTGGGGCATGTGCTTCTCCCATGTTGAACTGGTCCAAAAGCTCAGAGACTAAGAGAAAAGAAAGTACTGTATTCTCTAAAGCGCTGGTTCTCAAAGTGTGTCCTCTGAATCAGTACTATTAGTATCCCTTGCAGTAATTGCAGTATTTTTGTCATAGTGCTATTGTGAAAGTTCAATAAAAGGATACATATAAAGTACTTAGTACAGGTAAACATTTTAATAAATGTTAGGTATTCTCAGTATTATTATAGTCATAATAACTATTAATCATTGTGGTTATTTTTTTCTTCCAGGATGTTTTTTGAAGCAGCTTATTTTGCAATTCTTCTGGAAGCTACCAGAGTTTTTTGTGGTTTTATTTGGTTAATCCTTGCTGGAGGATATTTTTCCATTGATTTTTAGATAGAGTAGAAGAGAGGTAGGAGGAGAGAGAGAGAAGCATCAGTGTGAGAGAGACACATCAATTGGTTGCCTTCCGCACAACCCTGACCAGAGCTGGGTATCAAACCTGCAACCTAGGTATATGCCTTTGACCGGAAATCTAACCTACAACCCTTCTTCTGTGGGCCATCACGCTAACCGCTGAGTCAGATCAGCTGGATTGCTATCAGAGTTCTTATCAGTGCTTTTTAAAATTTAATGGATGATCTGTTAGTCCAACAATATTTCAAGTTGTCAAGTAAATGAAAACGTGTTTAAGCAAAGTCTGGAAGTGCTTCTTTCAAAAGCCCATAATTGCAAAGAAGATATTCTTTAGTGTAGTGATGTTGAGAAACCATATAGGATAGGTACGTGAATATATTCAAAGCCTTAATGTTTGTGAGAGTCATTAATGGCATTTAATGAGTCCCTAGGCAATGTCTTAACTCTGGAATTTGCTTTTAAAAGCCAGTTTCTCTCTAGACCTTTTTTCTTTCTTCATTTTAGATATCGATATCCTTAAACAGAAGTCTTTATGTAGAATTTTTCCTTTTTCTTTTTTCATTTGTGGTCAAATTAGGATCATGGTTAACCCCAAAAGGAAGGCCAGCCGGGCTGTGGGGGCGTGGGACATGGGGATGTGGGAAGGGGCTGGAGCCTCTATATTTCAGCCTGCTGCCCTGTTCACTTCCTCTTTTCTTTCCTTTACCACTATGCTTAAGCCAAATCCCAAAGTGAAAAGCAGTTTGTTTGTCTTTGGATGCTGCTGATTCATAGGCATGGGTGCTCTCTGGGATGTCACTGTCTGACCACTGAGCTGTGGACCATAACTTACCCCAGCTTCCTTCTGGCACCTCCTTCCAGGACTGAAAGCTTTGCTTTCCCGAGGGAGTCACAGGTTCAATGATTGATGGCTTGTCTTGCCTGTGCTTACTGGTCCTGGCTTGAGTGTTGGTTCTTATTTCCTGTCTCTCACCTTCTCTAGGCAAGCGTGTGGAGTGGCTCACATAAAACTGCTCTTCTTTTGGAGGATAAGAACCCAGGCAGAGCCAGGGGCCCCAGAGAGCATCAGCCTCAGGGCTTCCAACAGTGTTCCCTGAAAGTGCCCAGTTCCATGGAGGCCCACACCAAATCTCTGTCCCTGAGTGGCTCGGCTGCTCTCTATTCTTTTGATGGAGTGAGGTTCTGCATAGAATTTAACTGGGATCGATGGGGAGCATAAAACACATGGGGAAGTGCTGATGTAGTCCAGCTTCTTCATGAACGAGATGAAAATTCCTGTGGAGCAGAAGATGAGGATCTGAGAAGTTGTCCAAGGGAACTTAGTGTCTTATTTAGAGACATAAGAACTATACAAGGCTGGTGCTAGTCAAGGCTTTTTGGAGGAAGAAACAAACCTGTGCAAAACTCCCAGAACTAGAAAGGGTACTTATGATAAGGGAGCAGGAGTGTCTCAGAGTAACTTGGCACTGAGCTTTGTGGAGACAGCTTCAGGCTGCCGGTGGCAGCTCCACAGTGAACCTTTGGAGAAGCAGGGCCCTCGTCTCTGAGTATTTCTTGTCACTCTCCCTCTGCTGGCCTCTCTCCACTTTCCTGTGCACATTGTAGATCAGGATGGCTCCTCACCTTTCAAGGGACATCTTTTACAAGACTGCTGTGTTATCTGCCCCAATAAGCAAACTTCTGGTGGTGACTTTGCTCTAATGCCTGTGGCACAGGTGGCTCTCTGTGTTCATGCCCACCATTGGACATTTACCCCCCAAATTAATATAGTAGTGCTTTATGGTTTAGAGACTTTACTATAAAGTTTCTCCTGGGCAATCCCATAGTCAGGCCTTCTTACAGAACATAATAATGAGTACTTAAAGTTTGTAGAGAGGCCTCAGGGGCATCCAAGAGTTAGCTGAACTAATCTGACCCTTGAGAAGATTCTCTTGGTTACTAGGGGTGAGGATGATCATAATTACTGCTTAACAGTTTGCAACTTGCTTTATTGTTGGTGTGCATGTTGAGGCATTTTTAAGTTGTTCACAATCTTTATAGTGTGTGTATGTTACGGTCAGTAAACCATAATATTGCACTACTCAAGTAAAGTATCAAAGAGCATGTTATTCTACTAGAATTTCTGAATATCTCCTCTATAGATGACATTCCAAGTCAGGAGAGGACCCAGCCTTCAGTAGCACGAATCTGGCATTAAATCTTAAATTCCGAAGCCCTGAATGCATTCTAGCAAGTCACTAGTTAGCTATGAGTCTGCATATTTGATTTTGACTCAGCATTCCATTTGTACTTCCTCTAGTGTGTGAAACAACAGAAAATGCATTGTAGCTTTAGTATTTTTAATTGTCACCAAGTGGTGCTGCTAGCCACTGTGCAAAGTCTTCCAACAGCTGATGAAATGCTTGCTTTTTCAAAGATGGCCTGATGGAATCATATGTCGCTGCATCAGCTATGATGCTGCTTGAGTCTGTTTCACTTCCCACAATGACTGATTCTCCATCTGCCATGACATTGCATTTCTGAGCTGCTGCCCCCTCACTGGTGGTGACTGGAATGTTTATTTTTAGGACAAATTAAAATTATCCAGAAAAGGGTGTCTTCTGTAAAATGTACATGAATCAGCCTCTCTCTGAAGGGGTCATGGGAGGTGTGTGTGTGTGTGTGTGTGTGTGTGTGTGTGTGTGTGTATGTGTGTACTTTAAAATTCCTTATGGAAAAATTTTAAATTATTAAAGGGGAAGAGTATAATGAACATTGATATACCTACCCATCACCCATCTTCAACATTAAGGACAATTTTAAATGAAGTATTTAAACCATCTGAAGGCCAGTTTGAAAAAAGTGAGTGGTACCATGTGACGTTAACATTTGTTAAGCTGAATTTAAGCTGAATTTTCCAAATTTCAGCACTGTTAGTAATTCTCCTCCATCAGACCAAAAGAGCCTTAGCTCTTTCCTTTAGTCTTCAGTTTAAGTTCTAAGAGATATTATTAGAAGTATAATAAGAGATCTTATTAGGGTGTTAATGTCGGTTTTCCCATGACAAAAAGCAGTCACTAAAACTTGATTTTGATTACCTAGGTTCTGAAGATATCACCAGTATTCCTTAGATTTATGATTTTACTTTGAAGAGAATTCTTGTTGGGGTTTTACACAGTAGTCAGATGGACCCACCACTTTTTCTACCTTTGGGCTCTTGATTCTTTCTCTCTAAGCTGGGGATATAAGTTTCAACCTTCATGACGTTGCTACATAAAAAGTATCTAACCTGGAGCCTGGCAAGTAGTAGGCATTTACTAAACTTCGCTATTAGTAATCAAACTAAAGATAACAGCAGGGAAGCAGACCAGTTTTAAGACTATGTAGGCTCCCTCCTATTCTTTTCAGGTCTATAATTTCAGCTGCATATGATGTAAAGTTTGAATGTGTTATGGTGTTTTCTTATTATAAGCTCTCTTTTAAAAGTGTTTGTGACAGCCCAAGAAGGGAACTAACATTTACTGGTTACCTACTAAGCCTTTTCACATATCGTTCTATTTAATATGTGTTTTTACACATCCTGCTTCATTCTCACAGTGCTGTCAACTACACCTTACTGCTGATGGGCCGTGGAAGTGAAAGGCAGTGAGCTGAATAATTTGCTCAGGGAGAGGTAGATAATGGTAAAGGCAGGTTTCAAGCCTGGCATCTTTTACTGAAAGTTTTATGCTTTGATGAAGATTGAAAGTGCTAGCTATAGTCTTGTAAAGAGACTGTTTTAGAGTTGCCCCTGTACAGTAATAAGACTACTTATAGTGATTTATAATTTTTAAAGTTTTATTAACTATATTACTAACTTCTAACCATGTTAAAACACATTATCTTGGGAAGTAGGCAGGGCAAGTGTAATGATTAAAGAGGATCCTAGAGTCCACGATTCTTCTTTTACTGCTACTTCCCCTCAAAATAGTCTTTTAGGGAAAAAGATTAATTGAAGACTGTTAGTCAGAGGTCAATTCTGGGTCCCATTCTCCTTTGTAGAACCTTAATAAAACAGGATACCTCTGCCAAACTCATCTGAGGGTGGGTGTCCCTATCAAGGGAGAGATTCTTGAGCTCCTTTGGCTTACCAAATGGGGTGGGGTGAGAGAATATGCAAAGCGAAGAGAGAAGGAAAGGGGTTAATCCTGGAGAAAAAGTCATATTACCTCCATAGTCAGGTAGAAGCAAGAGAAAACCGCCCAAGTATATAATTATATATATATATATACACCTGCTCTGACTAAAGCCTCTGCCCAAATCCCAACCTTGTCTTGGGGTTAGAAGTTAGGGAGACCTTGACAAGTAGGTAGGAACATTGAGCTCCACCTAGGGGCCATCAGTGACTATGGCTACTCCCCAAATGAGGAACCTGCCTCCCAGGAAAGTTGAGGACAATCTGGGTAGTCAGCTAGTGTGGATGCAAACCGAGAATTGATGTCATATAACCTCTATTATTTCCCCCTATGGGAAATGTAAAAAAACCTGAAGTACATAAAAAAGAAAAATTTCCATATTCTCACTCTCAAATTCCATATTCCCATTACTGTTAACATTTTGCAGTTATTAGCTTCTTAGGCTTTTATTTTAAAAACAGGTAAACAGATTGTTTTATAAAAAATTACCCATTTTCATTATGAAGAACTCAAAGGTTGAAAAACAAAACCACTCCAAATCTGTTATGGAAACAAGTCTTGTTAGCATTAAGTGAACATCATTCCAGATGGATACTATATCCTGTGTACAGGCAGAATGATTACAGCAAATGCTAGAAACACTTTTGTTGAATATTGGATATTATAGCTGTTATTTTAATTAAAAACATAAAGTGTAGTTTTATATTAATAATTGATAAAGAAACTGAATTGAAATGTTAGGAATTGTTGAAACTCAAATATCTTTAACTCATTAAATTTTGTTTCCTAAAATATTTCTGTAAGATAAATGTAGCTTATAAAATAAGCAGTTTAAAAATTAAATTTCAGTCTTAGACAGTATTGATTGACCCTCTTACTTTGAAAGAGGGGAACAACATCTCATCCTTTGTCTTCTGTCCTCTTACCTCCCAATTTTTGTTGTTATTTTTGTTTTTCAGTTTTTTTATTTATTTTCTTGTCCTGTGGTATTCAGTATGGTAGCCACTAGCTGTGTGTAGCTATTTATTTATTTTTTATTCCTCATCCGAGGATACTTTTCCATTTATCATCAGGTAGAGTGGGAGGGAGGGAGAGAGAGACAAAGAGAGACATCGATGTGAGAGAGACACCAATGCGAGACACATCGGCCAGCTGCCTCCCACACAACCCGACTAGGGTCAGGGATGAACTGCAACCGAGGTATGTGCCCTTGACCGGAATTGAACTCTTGACTCATTGGTCTGCAAGCTGATCCTCTTAACCGCCGAAAACCAGCCAGGGCATGTGTGTGGCTATTTCATTTTAAACATACCTTTACATAAAATTGAAACAGAGGGAACAGACTAACTTCTAAGGGAAGGAGAGAGGGGAGGTGGGAAGAGATAAACCAAAGGACTTATATGCATATATGCATAACCAATGGACAGACAACAGTGTGGTGAAGGCAGGGGGATGAGGAGAAGGGAAGAGGGAGGGAGTCAGTGGGGGATAAAAAGGGGATGTCTGTAATACTTTCAACAATAAAAAATTATAAAAAATAAAATTTAGTTTTTTAGTCTTACTAGCCACATGTTAGTTACTCAGTAGTCACACTAGTGCAGGTGTTGCAGAAAGGTCTCTCAGCACTGTCTTTTCAAGAACAGGCTATTGGTGTAGTGTTTCTTGAATTCTTTCATGTTTGAGAATGTCTCTCTATATTTGAATAGTACCTTGGCTGCTACTTTCTTTCCTTAAGAATTTTGAAAGCAACATTTTTACTGGTGTCCTCTGACATTGAGTACTGCTATGGAGAAATATAAAGCTAGCCCAATATTTCCCTCATTATATAGACTTGTTTTTTGTCCTTGGATGCCCAAAAGATTTTAGAAATATATCTCAGTGAATTATTGTTGCATCTTTTTTTTTTTTTTTTCTGGAACATGTGCTGCTTTGGTCTGCAAATTATGTTCATTCTTCATTTCAGAAAGATTCTTACATCATCTCATATCTTGAAAGTGAGAGAGGGTTCACAAGATGGAAGCCACAGTCTTTTTGTAACCTAACCTCAAAATGACATTCTATCATTAGATGCAAGTTATTATACCTAGTCCACATTCAAGGGGAGGCGATTATACAAGAGTGTGAAAACCCAACAGGTGAGGAACATTGGGAGCCATCTCAGATGCTGCCTACCTCACCCTCTTTTTCATTTTATTCCGTTTTATCTTCTGTCTTTGGGCTCTTGAGTTAATGAGTTTCCCCCTAAATTGCTCTGTCACCTGAAGCAGTCAGTTGGTGCTATTTTTCACATGATGTTTCCTTTTGGACATGCACTATTGCATGTTTGTTCCTTTTTTTATGTTGTGCTTTTGATAGAAACATAATTAAGCAATGTCATTTATTGCAACCTTGATCGTGTGCTCTATTTATACATTCTATTTGCTTTGCTATAGTGTAAGTAACTTTTTTATATTCTTCTCTTTGTATTTGAGGCTGGTTGTATTTCCCTTCAAGCTACAGTTAGAGCACTGGGCATTTTTGGCAGTCTACTTTTATGTAGCCATAAAAGATGATCTCTGGAGGAAAAAGGCTCCGTTGAGGTGAGGAGGTTAAACACCAGAATAACTGGATCATACTCTTATCTGAGGTCCTGTGAGAGGTCCTGTGTCAGAGTTTTTTCCTGGTTGGGGAGGAGTAAGGCCAGGGCTGGATGCTCCTCTGTGGGCATGTACTGTTGTTAACTCTGCCTCCTAAATGGCATTTCCCATACTTCATGGAAAGAAAGAAAAGAGTATTTGTTGGAGAGGGCAAATGTGCTGAGGGAATTTTTTGGGGTGATGGAAATACTATAAAACTAAATTATGGTGACATTTGAACAACTATATGAATTTGCTAAAACTCATCAAACTAGAAACTTAAAAGAGATGAATTTTATTATATGCAAATTATATTTAAATAAACTATTAAAAAAACCCAACAACACAGCTGTTTGATATTCCTTTTTCCAGAATTAGAGGTATTTTAAGAGTTTTCAGTTTGGTGATGTGATGACTCAGCAGTCCCAACCATTTATCTATCATTCATCTTTATTAATTCATTTAGAGAACATGTACTTCCATGGATAACTAACACTAAAAATATAGTTTTATACTTAGTATGGAACGAGTTAGTTTGTTTTCTTTAGCTTTGTTAGCAAACAACACATTAATCAAGAAGTCTCTATAGTATTGATTGGGTGATATATAACTGAAAAAGACCTACCTAAATGTTGTAAAAATGAAATTAGATTTTAATTACTTCTCAACTGTTAAAAAAATACAGTAGCAAAAAGGAAAATATATAATGTTTTCCTAAAAATATTCTGTGATGAAATTAACTTTTATTTATTTCATTCTAATAGTATAATATAGATTGTGTAGAGTCAAATCTTGATGGTCTTTAGATTAAGAAGATAGATATTTTCTTCCTTTTTGGCCAAGTAGTATTCCATTATGTAAATGTACCGGAGCTGTTTTATCCACTCATCTACTGATGGACTCTTGGGCTGCTTCCAAATCTTGGCTAATGTAAATAACACTGAAATGAATATAAGGGTGCATATATTCTTTCAAATTAATGTTTTGGTTTTCTTAGATAAATTCCTGGAAGTGAATTGCTGGGTCATAAGGCAGTTGCATTTTTAATTTTTTGAGATAACTCCATACTGCTTTACATAGTGGCTATGCCTGTACATATTTAATTCATAACTGAATGAAAGAATAAATAAGATGTAGTCCTTATCCTAAAGTATATAGATATAGATATAGATATAGATATAGATATAGATATAGATATAGATATAGATATAGTTAGGAGACTAAGCCATGCACATTTGAAAATCCTAAGTGTTCACATTGCCCACATAGTGCTTGAGGAGGATGAGGAGGAAAATGGTAGGTAGGACTGCTCAGAAAAGCATGTGGAGTTATTGGTACCCAAGTAGATACACCTGAATCCCTCACCAATAACAGAATGTACTTGGGGGTGCCACACACACAGTCTCCAAGGGTAAAAATGAAGATGGCTTGTTTCGGACTATGTAGAGAGAGGACTGACTAAAGCTGAGGGAAGAACTGGAAAACATAATTGAATGGACAGAATGGATGCAATTTGCCCATAAACCCAAAAGAAGAGATTGGGCTTCTTCTGTGGGGCATTATGGAATCAATGGGTTCTTACACCAAGAAATGATTACATAAAAATTTGAAAACCCACTCTTAAAGTTATTGATTGACCATGTGATAATTTGGCTGTTTTTTTTGCATCTTTTATGTGCAAGATACTTACATATTTAAGAAGGTTTGTATATTTAGTTGTTGCTTTTTTTGGCACCTTAAGCAACATAATTATCAACTTCTCATTTTTTTATTTTATTAGATAGGGATTCTAACACAGTCTTTTTAATAAGAACAAAAAAGTATTATTTGAAATGCTCAGGCAGAAATTTATTTGAGAGTATGTTGTATGCAGGATACCAAGTCCTGTATAGTTCAGAGACAAAGAAATACCCCTCACAGCGGGGGATAGAGAGTTAGAAAGGTGGCAGTGAGATGCTACTGGGGTGGAGAGGAAGAGGTGGTGTTTTCTGCTTGGGAGTCAGAAACTGAAAGACAGATGACCTGTGTGCCAGGCACTTTCCATATGTTTTCTTTTAATCCTTGCAATTTTCTGGTAAAAATTTCAATCCCTATGTACAGAGGAGAAATGAGGCTTGGGGGAGGGGGCTGATGTGTATGGTCATGAGCATTACAGTCATAGGTTTGGATGAATTTGCTGATAGAGGGCATGTTGATAGGAAAGGGGATCATGTCTTATAAAATAACTCAATATTGTTATATTTTTCCTGGGATAAATGATCAGGCAGAGGTATAAATAGTGTAGCTCAATGTTGTTTACAAAATTTTAAACTCGAAGATAATTGATAGTCCTTTAAGTAGTGTCTAGGGTCAAGCCAGTTACACTAAACATTTAATCCTACCATTTCTCACAGTATTTAAAAATTGCGCCTTGAACCCTGGCCAGTTTGGCTCAGCAGTTAGAGCATTGGTCCGTGGACCAAAGAGTCGCCGGTTTGATTCTGGTCAAGGGCATGTACCTTGATTGCGGTTCAGTCCCTGGCCCTGGTCAGGGTCATGAAGGAGGCAACCAATCGATATGTCTCTCTCACATTGATGTTTCTCTCTCTCTCTCTCTGTCTCTCTCTCTCTCCCCTCCCCCCTTTCCTTCCCCCCTTTCACTCTGTCTGAAAATAGATGGGAAAATATCCTCAGGTGAGGATTAAAAAAATTGCCCTTTGAAAGGATTCCAGGCTGAAAACAATTTCTCCTATTGGAACAAAGTAATGCATGAATCTCTACATTCAAAATTACTTTGTTTCTTTTGAATAATGAAATGAAGGGAACAATAAAGTGTTGATTTAGTTCTCTTCATCCTTGATTTTGATTCACTGCAGTGTGGGCCTTAGTGCCCTTCTTAGCAAAAGGGTTTGGATTAGAGCAGCCACATGCCCTTCCAGCTCTGAGCTCTTTGTCCTGTACTGAGAAAAATATTTATTCCTTAAGGCAATAGCTCTTTGAGGGTTAAAAACAACAACAAAAAGAGCATCCAGGCTAATTCTCCTCAGCTCTTATTCACTCAAAAAAAATTTTGGAACTGAAATAACTTGTTAGATCTTGTGCAATAAAACATAATTCTCAGTTTTCCGAGGCCAGCTGTAGATCGGGATCCTAAAGGCCTTAATGGAAAAGGGCAGGTGTGTGTTTGTTAAGGGGCCACTTAGGGAAATCAGTTCCATGTAATTGTTAATACAGTTCTTTGGATAGATTTTTTTTATGACTCATTAATACAGATTTCATTAATTTATAATGGAAAATGGTGAGACAATATGACAATTATCTTCAGACTCAAGAATACTTAGGCAGCAGGGTGAGTGATGATTGACTAGTTAGAACAGAGGCTGCTGCAAGATGCCACTGCCAGGATGAAGCACTAACTGAGGAATGAGCCTGGGCCTCGCTGCCTCTGACCCTGCTTGGTTAACTAGCCAGCTACTTGCAGTGTAACTTGGGTGGCAGAAAGAAACTGAGGCCTGTAGGAAATCCAAGGCTCTTGAGGTTTCTTCTCACCAAAGGAAATTCCACACGTTTTCTTTTCTAGTCAGGCTAAGATGCGTAAGAGGGTTGGTTGGGCTTGAGCAAAATGGGAGAATAAATTTAGTTTGTTCTTCCTCCAGTCATGTTTGCATATAATATCCTCTGAACAGTAGACATTTGGAGTTGAGGGTCAGCCTATCACAGAAATGTTTCCAGCATTTTTGTGAGGGAGGAAGTTCAAATACATTGGTGAATATTTACTGACCAAATGGGATGATGTTTTTCTTTTGCTCATTTTTGAAGGTGTCATTGGCTTTTGCAAAATAACAGTTTATTATGGTTGGGAGAAGTCATATCTGACTTTCTAAGCAGGGCCTGTCATCTGTGGACCCCGCAATGTGCAGTAGGTGCCAGTAGCAGGGAGAATCTTGTAACTGAGAAAGGCCGCTGGCAGGAGTTGGGAGACCTGGATTCTGTTCAGGTCCTGAGCAGAGTTCTCTCATAGTCCTTGTTATGGGGTGAATTACTTCCCCACAAAAAGATACGTCGAAGTTCCAATTCCCAGTACCTCAGAATGCAATCTTATTTGGAAATAGGGTCTATAAAGAGGTCATTAAGTTCAAATGATGTCATTAGGAGGGTGGGCAGCAATCCAGTTTGACTGGTGTCCTTATATAAAGGGGAAATTTGGATGCAGTCACAACACAGAGTGAAGACTATGTGAAGACACTGGAAGAAAGCTGTCTACAAGCCAAGGAATGTCTGCTGCTACCAGAATCCAGGAGTGAGGCATGGAACAGATTCTCCCTCAGAGCCCTCAGAAAGCACCCACCTGTGACACCTTGATTTTGGATTTCTAGCTTCAAGAATTGTGAGACTATACATTTTTGTAGTTTTAAGCCATACAGTTTTGGGTACTTTGGTATGGCAGCCCCAAGAAATGAATATAGGCCTGATCCCTCAAAAGCCACAAAACTTTGAGTGAGCCTCTCAATGTTCTAGACTTCTGCTTCCTCATTTGTAAAATAAGAGTCTTGGAGTGGATGATGTCAGGACCTTCCTGCTGTAACATTGGATGATTAATGTTTCAAAAAGTACACTCAATTTCCAGCAAAGTAATTGTTGTTAAATTTCCTAATATAGCTAAGCTACGCAAAGAATACTTTTTTTCCAGTTCCCAGTTTTGCTGTTTTCATTCAGGAGTCATTGGTGATACTTCCTTTTAAGTTAAATATTGGGCAAGGCTGTCTGTTTCAAGTTGACACACTAAACAAAAGACAGACAGTATGTCTAGTCCCTGTGCAATATATAACCAAAGTATGTATCACTTAAAAACATATAGATATATTTTACAGGTTGATGGTTAGCATATTTTTGTGTCATTTCTTCCTTAGATTTCTAGAATGATTTCTTTAAGACATCTACAAGTTTATTCTAATTTTCCCAAAGAAACCTGCCACATAGATATAGGCCACTCAGGTATTTGCTAGATGCCTCACTTCAGTGAACAGTAGCACTCCTGTGCACTGTGGAGTGTTCTTCATACCAGACTTTGACCTAAGTTCAGGTCAAGGTGTTCATAGGGTTAGTCTTCTTTTTCGACTTGTCAGTAGGTAACAGTTGGGTCCACTGAAGGCATCAAAATTAAGATGGCATTTGGTGCTATCTTAGATGAATAGAGTGAGGAAATAGTCACCCATCTTTTCATCAGTATCTTTCCTTACAAAATCAGCAGTTGAAATCTACAAGATGTGGATGAAAAGGGACCGCATACTAAACCTGACAAGCTCAGGGGAGGGCCTACGTGGCAGCCTTTTAAACTTAAATAACCGCAAAGGATGGTCTGAAATTAAAACTTTTTAACTAAAAGCAGTTTATAGTGGGTAGTTAGGTCCTAGGCCAGCATCTTCCCTGACGAAGATCAGTCTTTGCCAACTGAGCCTGTCTGTTGTCTTTTTGCATGTATGATAAAATATCTTTGGAATGTCAAAGTAATTTTTCTTTTTTTTGGACCCCTCAAAGCACAGGCACCGCCCTGGAAAGACCACAAATACCCTCACTGTTATTAAGTTAATTGTTGACTGTTACTGTCCTGTACCCACCTATTTAAAAGAAGTATGTGTCTATCATTTTACTTTTTATCCAATCCCAGAGGTTTCCTTGCTTTGCTTTCTCCTGCCTCCCTAATCCATCATCAATGGATTCCATGTAGCCCACTTATATCTCCTCTTTTGATTGTAATCTGTAAAAAAGGTGCAGAACTACCATTCTTCAGAGCATTATCTCAGTCTGTTTAGATTTTTCTTTTTGGCAATTGTCAACAATTCAGCTCAAATAAACTCACAAAAATTCTTTGCAGGTTTGGATGTTTCTTAACGTTGACATAGATATGTTTGAAATAATGTTACCTTTGAAACTTCTCTGGATATTTTCTTCTTTCTTTTCCCTTAGTCTCTATATTACAGTGGATGTTATTTTAAAGTATGCCTTAAGGTTTTTAAGAAAAGATAAATAATATAAAAATATCTTTCTTAAAAAAAAACAACAACCCCAGCCCTGGCCGGTTTGGCTCAGCTGTTAGAGCGTCACCCTGCAGTCCAGAGAGGCCTGGGTTCAGTTTCCACTAGGGGCACATACCTCGGTTGCAGTTTGTCCCCAGCCCTGGTTGGGTTGTGCGGGTGGCAGCTACTCATTGTGTCCCTTTCACGTCGATGTTTTTCTCTCTCTCTCTCGTCCTCCCACTGTATGTGAACAAAAAATATAAAAATGTCCTCGGGTAAGGATAAACAACAACAAAACTCCATCATGTATCTGATTTAAAGTACAGAAAGAAATCTTTTATGAGTTAAATTAAATGTTTGACACCACTTGCCTTCCTGTGTGAGGCTCTCTCATGCTCTCCCTATTTTCCTCAGATCCCTTTTATATCTTCTTCCTTTACTAGAACATTCCCTCTCCTCAGTCTGCTAGGACAAAAAGACTAAGGGGTGAAGTTAGGCCTAAAGAGAGATTTTAAAAACAATGGTATTGCCCTGGCCGGTTTGGCTCAGCAGTTAGAGCATCTGCCTGCAGACCAGAGAGTCCCAGGTCCCTTTCCTGCTAAGGGCACGTTGCAGTTTGTCCCGAGCCCTGATTAGGGCTATGTGGATGGCAACCAGTTGATGTGTCTCTCGCACATCAATGTTTCTGTCCTCAGGTAAGGATTAAAAAACAAACAAACAAATACAAAACAATGGGATTAACCGTGGTGGGATGTGGCTCAATGGGATTTAACGGCTCTTTCTCTTCTTTTTGTACCCCTTAATGAAAGGGATAGAGAAATGGTTAACTTGAGGACCATTCAGCCAAATTAAAGGTAATAATTTTAGTCACATGTTTAATGAAGCTTATCTGGTTCTTCAAGAATAACTGTGCTGTCTTCTGAAGATTTTTTTTTTTTAATCCTCACCAGAGGATATTTTTCCTCTGATTTTCAGATAGAGTGGGAGGGAGGGAGAGAGGGAGAGAGAAAGAGAGAAACATCAATGTGAGAGAGACACACCAGTTGGTTGCCTCCTGCACAACCCTAACCAGGGCTGGGGATTGAACCGAAACCAAGGTATGTGCCCTTGACCAGAATGAAACCTGCGACTCTGGTTCGCAGACTGTCACTCTAACCGCTGAGCCAGACTGGCCAGAGCTGAAGATTTTTTAAACGTTTTTTTTCTTTTTTAGAGAGAGAAGAAGGGAGATAAAAACATCAACAAGAGAGAAACTTCGATTGACTGCCTCCTGCACGGATCGAGCCTGATACCTGGGCATGTGCTCTGACCCAGAATCGAACCAGGACCTCTCAGTCAATGGGACTACGCTCAGTCCACTGAGCCACACTGGCCGGGCTTCTGAAGATGTTTTAACAAACACATGAAGGGTTTTCATGCATGATGTCTCACTCTTAGAAATCCAGTCTGATTTAAATTTTTTTTCTTTTTATTTCTACCCTACCCATTTCTCTATCATAGCTTAAAAACACAGGGAAGGGCCTAAAAAATGCCTTAGTGTTACTATCCATTCTAAAGAGGCTCCAATGAATCACCATATAGACTATAAAGAATGGCACACCTTGGCAAAGTACTATCTCTGTGAGAAGCTGAAAGAAACAGTCTCTATCATGTGAAACTAAAAACATGTTATGTTTTAAAAGAAGATACTTTTTATATTTAAAATAGTGAAATCTTGCCCTGGCTAGTGCGGC